GTCTAGTCTATAGTCTAGTCTATAGTCTAGTCTATAGTCTAGTCTATAGTCTAGTCTATAGTCTAGTCTATAGTCTAGTCTATAGTCTAGTCTATAGTCTAGTCTATAGTCTAGTCTATAGTCTAGTCTATAGTCTAGTCTATAGTCTAGTCTATAGTCTAGTCTATAGTCTAGTCTATAGTCTAGTCTATAGTCTAGTCTATAGTCTAGTCTATAGTCTAGTCTATAGTCTAGTCTATAGTCTAGTCTATAGTCTAGTCTATAGTCTAGTCTATAGTCTAGTCTATAGTCTAGTCTATAGTCTAGTCTATAGTCTAGTCTATAGTCTAGTCTATAGTCTAGTCTATAGTCTAGTCTATAGTCTAGTCTATAGTCTAGTCTATAGTCTAGTCTATAGTCTAGTCTATAGTCTAGTCTATAGTCTAGTCTATAGTCTAGTCTATAGTCTAGTCTATAGTCTAGTCTATAGTCTAGTCTATAGTCTAGTCTATAGTCTAGTCTATAGTCTAGTCTATAGTCTAGTCTATAGTCTAGTCTATAGTCTAGTCTATAGTCTAGTCTATAGTCTAGTCTATAGTCTAGTCTATAGTCTAGTCTATAGTCTAGTCTATAGTCTAGTCTAGTCGTCTATAGTCTAGTCTTAGTCTAGTCTATAGTCTAGTCTAGTCTAGTCTATAGTCTAGTCTATAGTCTAGTCTATAGTCTAGTCTATAGTCTAGTCTATAGTCTAGTCTATAGTCTAGTCTATAGTCTAGTCTATAGTCTAGTCTATAGTCTAGTCTATAGTCTAGTCTATAGTCTAGTCTATAGTCTAGTCTATAGTCTAGTCTATAGTCTAGTCTATAGTCTAGTCTATAGTCTAGTCTATAGTCTAGTCTATAGTCTAGTCTATAGTCTAGTCTATAGTCTAGTCTATAGTCTAGTCTATCTAGTCTATAGTCTAGTCTATAGTCTAGTCTATAGTCTAGTCTATAGTCTAGTCTATAGTCTAGTCTATAGTCTAGTCTATAGTCTAGTCTATAGTCTAGTCTATAGTCTAGTCTATAGTCTAGTCTATAGTCTAGTCTATAGTCTAGTCTATAGTCTAGTCTATAGTCTAGTCTATAGTCTAGTCTATAGTCTAGTCTAGTCTATAGTCTAGTCTATAGTCTAGTCTATAGTCTAGTCTATAGTCTAGTCTATAGTCTAGTCTATAGTCTAGTCTATAGTCTAGTCTATAGTCTAGTCTATAGTCTAGTCTATAGTCTAGTCTATAGTCTAGTCTATAGTCTAGTCTATAGTCTAGTCTATAGTCTAGTCTATAGTCTAGTCTATAGTCTAGTCTATAGTCTAGTCTATAGTCTAGTCTATAGTCTAGTCTATAGTCTAGTCTATAGTCTAGTCTATAGTCTAGTCTATAGTCTAGTCTAGTCTAGTCTATAGTCTAGTCTATAGTCTAGTCTATAGTCTAGTCTATAGTCTAGTCTATAGTCTAGTCTATAGTCTAGTCTATAGTCTAGTCTATAGTCTAGTCTATAGTCTAGTCTATAGTCTAGTCTATAGTCTAGTCTATAGTCTAGTCTATAGTCTAGTCTATAGTCTAGTCTATAGTCTAGTCTATAGTCTAGTCTATAGTCTAGTCTATAGTCTAGTCTATAGTCTAGTCTATAGTCTAGTCTATAGTCTAGTCTAGTCTATAGTCTAGTCTATAGTCTAGTCTATAGTCTAGTCTATAGTCTAGTCTATAGTCTAGTCTATAGTCTAGTCTATAGTCTAGTCTATAGTCTAGTCTATAGTCTAGTCTATAGTCTAGTCTATAGTCTAGTCTATAGTCTAGTCTATAGTCTAGTCTATAGTCTAGTCTATAGTCTAGTCTATAGTCTAGTCTATAGTCTAGTCTATAGTCTAGTCTATAGTCTAGTCTATAGTCTAGTCTATAGTCTAGTCTATAGTCTAGTCTATAGTCTAGTCTATGGTTTAGTCTATAGTCTAGTCTATAGTCTAGTCCAGCGGTTCCCACAGATTTTTACTTCGCGGACCCCTTGAAGAACTTATTTAATATCGCGGACCCCCATACATATTTTGATATCTTATTGTTCTAAATAATTGTCCATCCGAAAATTGACCTAGTTCATTAATCCCTAGGTCTAATAAATGTAGAGATGTCATATCTATAAAATATTCCCGTACATTGAGAATATATAATATTTCAGATAGGTTTTCAATTGCTTGTTTTGAAGATAAAATGACTTCTTTGTTGATATGTTAACATGATGTTTAATTTTATGATCGTGAGATCTTTCATGTTCATTTTTCTTCAAGGTAGCAAAAAGGTTTCTTTATTAAATATTGTCACATGTGCTTAAGGAGTCACGTTTCAAAAATTTGCGATTGCAAAGGGTGAACTGAGTAAGTGAGCTAAGTTTTCGGGAAAATAATATAAGAAAGTTGGACTTCTTCTATGTTGTTGCGGAATGCGTACTCCGCATAATATATGATTTGAACTCTTTGTTAAAGTACTGTGAATTTGGAACTTAAGTTTGAATTTTAAAATACCAACGAATTATTTTACTTCATGGTTTTTGGCTACATATTTACGCGAAACGCTATGGATTTTCTGATGTTAATTTAATAATATGTATTGGTCGACAAAATCAAGTTAAAATCTGTGTATCACATCGGATTGGAATATTTATAAAGAGATGCATAAAGTGTCACCTCTGTTTTGGAAATATATAATTATGCTTACAATTTGATAAACTTAAATCTGTAATAAGCCTGTCTTTGAATTGAACTTCATACTCCGGAATACCTGTATCCCTAATTTAATTGTAAGGCAGAGTATTATTTATCTGAAATAAAAACCATTATTTCAGTACATATACAGGAAATAAAAATTACAAATCACGCAGTACTTTACTTTATAAAAGTTATACAATAAATTTGTAGGGCCTAGCTTCTTCCTGATAAACAACCGAAAAAATAAAATTCAAAAAGTCACCAAAAAATTTGGGATTATTGCACAAAAATTGGAGATATTTGTACATACATATAAAAGCAGAATATTGTTTATTCATGGTTTTTTTCGTTCGTCTTCGCGGACCCCCTAGGATTTTACTACGGACCACTAGGGGTCCGCGGACCCCCATTTGGGAACCGTTGGTCTAGTCTATAGTCTAGTCTATACTCTAGTCTATAGTCTAGTCTATAGTCTAGTCTATAGTCTAGTCTATAGTAGTCTATAGTCTAGTCTATAGTCTAGTCTATAGTCTAGTCTATAGTCTAGTCTATAGTCTAGTCTATAGTCTAGTCTATAGTCTAGTCTATAGTCTAGTCTATAGTCTAGTCTATAGTCTAGTCTATAGTCTAGTCTAGTGTATAGTCTAGTCTATAGTCTAGTCTATAGTCTAGTCTAGTGTATAGTCTAGTCTATAGTCTAGTCTATAGTCTAGTCTATAGTCTAGTCTATAGTCTAGTCTATAGTCTAGTCTATAGTCTAGTCTATATTCTAGTCTATAGTCTAGTCAATAGTCTAGTCTATAGTATAGTTTTTAGTCTTTAGTTTAGTCTAGTCTTTAGTCTAGTCTATAGTGTAAAAAAGTATGTGATAAATTCTACTTCCTTTTAGCTTTTTTGGAAGTTCTCTTTTCTGTTATTTAAACTAAACTTTCATTAAAGGTTTGTTTTTGTCAGACAGTTGAATGTACTTATCATCATTTACATTTTTAGTCCTCATTTCAATTAATGTTCTTTTGTTTTAAATTTTTACACTTTCCTGTTGATAAATAATTTTTAAATCCCATATACTGCTCAGATATTTGTATAGGTGTGTAATAATTTTGTTGAAACGGAAAAATATGAACGTTTAAGGTAAAAATGATAATTTTTTTTGTTTTGTTGTCACAGCAGCAGCGGCAGCAAATTAACTATGCGCATATTTTTCTATAAAACAATGTTGTTCTTTTACAGAAAACAAAAAAAAAAAACAGTAAAAAGGTAAACAAAATCGTATTTTGTTCATGCTCATACTATTGTCATCCTTTTATTATTCCTTCAAACTGTTTGCATTTATGTTGTCAATTTTTGTTGTATAGAAAACGGAAGTTGCTTGTGCAATTTTCATTTTCTCTCTTATGTATTTGTACTATTTGTTGTATATTGTCTTGTTTTTGTATTAAATTATGAACATGAAAATTGTACAATTGTTTAAAAGGACATGTAAGTAGATTAAGGGGGACTCAAATTTACTTTCATTATATTTTAAATAAGTTTAAACATTTTCATTAATTTAACGTATTATCCTTATATATCCTTTTTAAAACTTCAATTTATATTCGAACTTAAGTTCTAAAGAATCTATATTTATTTGCCATCTAGTCCAACTATAGCTAGGAAATATTGCTATCGAATTTAAGACATTAATTACGCTCTAGGTACCACCCTAATATATCGATGTGGGTTGTGTGCATTTTTACTGTTTGTTGTTACACATGTATTGTTTTAGTCGTGAATTATTTTTGCTGGAATTGTATGATAAAAAGATGCAAAAACAACAGTTTACATGATGATGCTGCTGCTACTACTACTGCTGTCATTTGTTATGTCTCAATTATTTGGGTTAAAAAGAAAATGTAGGTGAAAATTATACTTGAAAAATGGGACATTATTTCTGAATGAAAATACAAAATGTTGATGAATGTTTTGTTAATGTTAAATAAATAAAGTAAAATATGTTTTTACTTTAAATTATAATTCACGCTATAAATATGGATAAATGTTTAAAAATGGTGGAAACCTATTGCATTTCAAATCGAGTTTTATAATAGAATAGTCTATAGACTAAAGACTTGTCTATAGAATAGTCTGTTTACTAAATACACATAGATCTCTTTGAGTATTGTCCACAAGTTCTTCTTTCGATAATAACTTCAACTTCATAAACTAAAGTAGTTTATTTTAAATTCGATTTAGAACCACTACATTTTATTAAATTTGTATTGTTAAATTTGGTATGTACTTACTTTTAGCTTGACTTTGTTGGGCAGCCAAACACATCGTACAGATGACAACCAAGAAGAAGGATACTGAAAGTTTCATGTTTGCAGGAATCTATAAAAAAAATAAACAAAATGATAAATAATATGATTAAATAATGATGTTTTCTAAAGACAAACAAATACTTAAAAATGTTATTATTTTAAAGAAAAAAGTAGAAAGAACTTCTGTACATAGAACAGTGATACATGAGATTTTTCTTATAAAAGTTAAACAAAATTTAAACAGAGGAAAACAAACATATTCAAAAGCAAATGACAGTTCTATATTCGGCCGTGTCGAATCTTATTAACCCTTCAACTACCCTTCACTTACTCTATTAAAAAAATCAAAAAAATTACAAGTTAGAAAACGAGAAAGTGCTATTTAGAAAGTCTCCTTTTTATTAAATCCTATGTTTCTAGGTTTAATATTAAAAATATTCCAAAACTACCAGTTGAAGAACAAAATAGTGCCAAAAAGTTTAGTCTAATGAATTTTCATTCATTCAATATCCTACTATATAATATGATTTTATGTTTGTAGGTTCTATAATTCCGAAAATCAATATTAAGCACCAAAAAGTCTCTTAATTTAGATTTTCATTCAATCAATAATATAAAATATTCAAAAAGTACCATTTGAAGAACATAAAAATTTTACTCTTATACATATATTTTCATTCCATTAGAATCTAATATGTCTGATTACACATATGTTTCTATGTTTAATATTGCAGAAAAAGCAAAAAGTACCAGTTGAAGAACAAAACAGTACCAAAATCCCTTCCAACAACTTTTCATTCATTCAGGACTCAAAATGTTTGTCAATATTATAGAAAAATTAAAAACTAACTTTTGTAGAACGAAAAAAGTACCAAACAGTCTCAGGGGTCTCACTTACTCTGGGCTTAACATACTTAATTTCATGTTTCTAGGATCAATATTATAGAAAACTCAAAAAATACTAGTTAAAGATCAATAATGATAAGTTCTGAACGAATATTATTGAAAACGAACTAATTCGAGAACTGTTTCGAAGAAGTCGTATTTGTTGACTCATTAAAGGGGCCTTTACACGATCACACTTTACTTACGTAAAGTCTAATGAAAAAGTAAAATAAAATTCCATCCGTATGACAAAAAAGAGAATAAAAGTCATATGAATTATATTATATTATATTTTTGTGTTTACACGATTGCTAAAAACAATCCGAATTTTTTTTCAATGTGTTATGATTTCATTACGTATTGTGTTTAGACGATCCCATCCGAACTCTTCTACAAATAATTTTGACAGATCATATTACTTGTTTGCTCGTTTAAAGGGGGCTTAACGGTCCCATAGTTTTGAAAGAAGAACTGCTTCTTTAAAGATTCTGGTTCTGTTCAAAAATGACAACAAACATATTTATTCTTAATTAGTTCTAAAACTAATCGTATATACATAAGTATTTGAAAAAGTGAACGTAACTTTACTGTCCATGGAATTAAAAGGATTAATATCAAACTCTTACTAACAACAATTAATTCGATCATAATTTCAATATTTAACTTATAAATTAATTCATGTCAAAACAAACAACAATAATTTTTCTTTGGCGCAACAATTTAAGTTAGATTAAAACTTTAACAATAAAAAAGGAAAACAAAATATTTTGGACATGTTTTTAGCAGAAGATACCATTTTATTTAGTTTTTTTTCAACTTGGGAAAAGGATATATGAATTTGTGTGAATATGTATATAAATTATAAGGTGGGCTCTACAGATTATTAATTTTATCTGACAAAAAAAAAACTATTCCACAATTTAATGAACTTAAAACTTTGGCACGAATTCCTTCTAGAAAAACTGAGAGAACTAGTTACATAACTAGTTCTATGTAAATAGTACTTAGTCTACTTCTAATAATATTAAGTAGGAGTGAGTTTGTTTTAACATTTTTTTCATAACTTTCGATATCTTTTAAAGGTTGCTAAACTGATTATTTTGGGACAAATTAGTTAACTTTTGCAATAAAAATTTATTTCGGTTTTCAGTGCTGTCATTTTGCATGTCAGTGTCAAATCTGAGGTAAACATTGATACCACCCTAATCAGACTGAATAGTTGTAACTTTTGTTCTTTTAATTATTGTACAAATATTATTGTTGTAAGTTGTGCAATTATTTGTTTACCTGTATTATTTATATATTTGTTGTTTCAGTTGTTATTGTTGTTCCACTAACTAAACAAACAAATAACATCGTCATAACATTTGGCAAAAAGTCAATTTAGACGTGATAGGAATTTAAAAATGAAATTAATTCCTATAGATGGATGTGTAGAAGGATGTATGTATGATTAGGTTATTTGACTGACCATCAAATCATGCTTGCAAAAACTCTTCGAAGTTTATACGTGTCTTAAAGTATTTAAGATTTTTCATTAGCCTTAGGTTTTTTCTGGGCAGGAGTTACGAGATGAAAATGTTAGACATTTAAAAGTATTTAGGGATTAGTTAGGTAAATTTATAAATTTATAAAATTATATAATTTATGAAATTTGATCTTTGTAATTACAAAAGTAATGGATTTGGTAAAATTAACCACAACATAACTTGTTTATAAATCAAAATTCCTAGCATTATTTTTATTGTTTGTTTATATCAAAAGCCCAAGGTTTTTATTAAAAAAATATGTTTTTTATTTACATAACTTCCTTATTAAGTATTTAATACAAAGAATTATTTATATTTATTTTCTTTTTATCTAATATTTTTTTATATTTTTCTAAAATCATTTTCTTACAGGCCCCTTTTTCTAGGCTGTTGCTGTTCATTCATATTTAATACGTTTTCAAATCTCAATGGTAAGTGATTGCCTGTTTATGTTTCTCCATTTATATTTTAAGTTTATTTTGTATTTCTATTTCATTTAGAGTTAGTTTTAATATCCTTAGGGTATAATTTTAATATCATCATTATTATTACTTATTATTATATGTATGTATAGTGTGTATTTTAAGTGGGATAGTTTTATTTGTGTTTAAATTTAGGAGGGTATAAACAAGATTTCTTAATTCGTAATTCGTATTTAATTCTCAGAAGAAAAGTTTGAGGTTTGATAATGGAATATATGTATGTATGTGTGTTTGTTTATTTAACTTAATTAATTACAGCGAAAATTAAAATAGTCAATTTGTTTAACCTTTTTACTGTTTATTTGTTTAATTAAGACATCACTACTTAAAGGGTGAAACAATAATCTGCTTAATTGTGTCATTAGTAACATAACTAGCAAATTAAAACTAAATTATAAGCAAATTTGCAACTAGATCTGAACTAAAACTAAACTAGGACTAAACTAGGACTAAACTAGGACTAAACTAGGACTAAACCAGAACTGAACTAGAACTGAACTAGAACTGAACTAGAACTGAACTAGAACTGAACTAGAACTAACTGAACTAGAACTGAACTAGAACTGAACTAGAACTGAACTAGAACTGAACTAGAACTGAACTAGAACTGAACTAGAACTGAACTAGAACTGAACTAGAACTGAACTAGAACTGAACTAGAACTGAACTAGAACTGAACTAGAACTGAACTAGAACTGAACTAGAACTGAACTAGAACTGAACTAGAACTGAACTAGAACTGAACTAGAACTGAACTAGAACTGAACTAGAACTGAACTAGAACTGAACTAGAACTGAACTAGAACTGAACTGAACTGAGAAACTGAACTAGAACTGAACTAGAACTGAACTGAACTAGAACTGAACTAGAACTGAACTAGAACTGAACTAGAACTGAACTAGAACTGAACTAGAACTGAACTAGAACTGAACTAGAACTGAACTAGAACTGAACTAGAACTGAACTAGAACTGAACTAGAACTGAACTAGAACTGAACTAGAACTGAACTAGAACTGAACTAGAACTGACTAACTAGAACTGAACTAGAACTGAACTAGAACTGAACTAGAACTGAACTAGAACTGAACTAGAACTGAACTAGAACTGAACTAGAACTGAACTAGAACTGAACTAGACTGAACTAGAACTGAACTAGAACTGAACTAGAACTGAACTAGAACTGAACTAGAACTGAACTAGAACTGAACTAGAACTGAACTAGAACTGAACTAGAACTGAACTAGAACTGAACTAGAACTGAACTAGAACTGAACTAGAACTGAACTAAACTAGAACTGAACTAGAACTGAACTAGAACTGAACTAGAACTGAACTAGAACTGAACTAGAACTGAACTAGAACTGAACTAGAACTGAACTAGAACTGAACTAGAACTGAACTAGAACTGAACTAGAACTGAACTAGAACTGAACTAGAACTGAACTAGAACTGACTAGAACTGAACTAGAACTGAACTAGAACTGAACTAGAACTGAACTAGAACTGAACTAGAACTGAACTAGAACTGAACTAGAACTGAACTAGAACTGAACTAGAACTGAACTAGAACTGAACTAGAACTGAACCAGAACTGAACTAGAACTGAACTGAACTAGAACTAAACTAAAAATATAGAAAAATTGTAGATTAATAAATTTTGTATTGAAATATAACTTTAGCCGACGGCAGAAAATTTCACAACTACTGATCAGTCCAAATAAAATTTAAACGTTTGAACACAACAGCTTTGCTGTAAAGCTTAGAGAGAAAATGTTACAAAGCTTAAATTTTTGTTTAACACTTAGCAAAAACAGCAATAAAATCTTATCAATTTTTCTTTGACCTCGTAAAGGGTTAATTTCTTTGTTTTTTTTTGCATTTGACTTTAACTCACCTTTGAATTTCAACTTTTGTGTGTAATTTCTTTCAGATAAAAAAATAAACTATTTAATTATTATTGTAATTAGAGGTCGCAAGATAATCGTTCGATTAGCTTTTTCAATTTAATTTATTTACTTATTTTGTATTTGTTTTCTTCCTGGTTAATTAGCAATATTTCATAATTAAATTATTTGATTTTTCTTAATATGCTTGGTTTATCTTTTGTATTAAATTACTTTAAATTATTAGGTACTTTTTTAAATCACAGATGGTATACACTTAAATTTTTGTAAATTATTAAAAAAATTCACTACGTCTTCTGCCACAGGATCTTTTTATATATTTTCAAAATATTATAACACACAATTTTTCTTTTTTCGATCTTGAGTTCAGCGAAACTCTATATAGTTCGACCAAGTACGTGGTACATTTTTCGAAAGTTTCCGACTTAATGAAATGATTTTGAGATTTGGAGAGCTTAATATAGAAATATTTTTGTATTTTTCAATACAACCACATGTAAATTTAAGATTATTTTGAAAATGTGCTGAATGTTGTTAACAAAAATGCAAAACAAAATAAGAGCAAAAGAGAATTGGATTTTTTTACATATTATTTTATATTAAAATTTGTGTATAAGAGTCTCCCAAGAGAGGGTGGAGTGTATTTTTTCAAATCTCAAACTCTGATTGGGTTTCTAAACCAAGCCTGTGCCCAAATTTTAACACGAATTGCTATTTATTTTATAAAGAAATCTTTATTACTAAGTTCAAAATCCTGATGAGAGTATAGACTTTTTTATAAAAAATTTCCTGTTTCCTGTTTATTTCAGTCTGTTGTCTGAAAAATCATTAACCTTTTACCCATTCTTGTTTACAAGTCTACGAAAGAAAAAATTGAGTCCATGTAATCAAAAAATAACAAAAGAAATGTAGACATCATCGACTAGACGCCACTTAAAAAACCTCTAAAGTGTTGAAGAAAATAAACCATCATCATGGTTGGTTTCTATTTTAAGACTTGAATTGTTTTTTTTATTAATATTATTAATTGTAAAAGACATTTAAATACTATATTTAAACATTCAGTCTCAATTACAATTAAATTGATAAATATTTAATTTTTTTCTGTTTGTATTTACAAATTCAATAAAACAATTAAATTGTTTACTACAAGTCGTCGTAGCCATTAAGGCAAAAATAACAATTGCTTCTCTTTTCTTCTCCATTCTTTTTAACTCTAATCACTCTCACTACTCACCAACTGATGATGGCTATGCCATAATAATAATAAAAAAACAACAATAAAAAATCCCATCATTATTATTTTCCCACCCATCAATATTTGTTGCTTTTTGTTTTTATTGTTGTATATTGAACTTTTTGCTCTGATTTCTGTGTTTATAGGAAGGCGTTAGGTTTTTTGTTGATTTTTTGTTATTATTAAAAAACTGATAATTCAGGCTATGAACTAGTTTATTTGAAACTAGTTTTTTAGATGACTTTAAAAATAGAAAGAAGGATATTTTTAGCTATTTTATATTTCATCTATTTATAAATTTTTAATTCAGTCCTAGTTCAGTTCTAGTTCAGTTCTAGTTCAGTTCTAGTTCAGTTCTAGTTCAGTTCTAGTTAGTTCTAGTTCAGTTCTAGTTCAGTTCTAGTTCTAGTTCAGTTCTAGTTCAGTTCTAGTTCAGTTCTAGTTCAGTTCTAGTTCAGTTCTAGTTCAGTTCTAGTTCAGTTCTAGTTCAGTTCTAGTTCAGTTCTAGTTCAGTTCTAGTTCAGTTCTAGTTCAGTTCTAGTTCAGTTCTAGTTCAGTTCTAGTTCAGTTCTAGTTCAGTTCTAGTTCAGTTCTAGTTCAGTTCTAGTTCAGTTCTAGTTCAGTTCTAGTTCAGTTCTAGTTCATTCAGTTCTAGTTCAGTTCTAGTTCAGTTCTAGTTCAGTTCTAGTTCAGTTCTAGTTCAGTTCTAGTTCAGTTCTAGTTCAGTTCTAGTTCAGTTCTAGTTCAGTTCTAGTCAGTTCTAGTTCAGTTCTAAGTTCAGTTCTAGTTCCGTTCTAGTTCAGTTCTAGTTCAGTTCTAGTTCAGTTCTAGTTCAGTTCTAGTTCAGTTCTAGTCAGTTCTAGTTCAGTTCTAGTTCAGTTCTAGTTCAGTTCTAGTTCAGTTCTAGTCAGTTCTAGTTCAGTTCTAGTTCAGTTCTAGTTTCAGTTCTAGTTCAGTTCTAGTCAGTTCTAGTTCAGTTCTAGTTCAGTTCTAGTTCAGTTCTAGTTCAGTTCTAGTTCAGTTCTAGTTCAGTTCTAGTTCAGTTCTAGTTCAGTTCTAGTTTTCAGGGTTCTAGTTCAGTTCTAGTTCAGTTTCTAGTTCAGTTTTCTAGTTCAGTTCTAGTTCAGTTCTAGTTCAGTTCTAGTTCAGTTCTAGTTCAGTTCTAGTTCAGTTCTAGTTCAGTTCTAGTTCAGTTCTAGTTCAGTTCTAGTTCAGTTCTAGTTCAGTTCTAGTTCAGTTCTAGTTCAGTTCTAGTTCAGTTCTAGTTCAGTTCTAGTTCAGTTCTAGTTCAGTTCTAGTTCAGTTCTAGTTCAGTTCTAGTTCAGTTCTAGTTCAGTTCTAGTTCAGTTCTAGTTCAGTTCTAGTTCAGTTCTAGTTCAGTTCTAGTTCAGTTCTAGTTCAGTTCTAGTTCAGTTCTAGTTCAGTTCTAGTTCAGTTCTAGTTCAGTTCTAGTTCAGTTCTAGTTCAGTTCTAGTTCAGTTCTAGTTCAGTTCTAGTTCAGTTCTAGTTCAGTTCTAGTTCAGTTCTAGTTCAGTTCTAGTTCAGTTCTAGTTCAGTTCTAGTTCAGTTTTAGTTCAGTTCTAGTTCAGTTCTAGTTCAGTTCTAGTTCAGTTCTAGTTCAGTTCTAGTTCAGTTCTAGTTCAGTTCTAGTTCAGTTCTAGTTCAGTTCTAGTTCAGTTCTAGTTCAGTTCTAGTTCAGTTCTAGTTCAGTTCTAGTTCAGTTCTAGTTCAGTTCTAGTTCAGTTCTAGTTCAGTTCAGTTCTAGTTCAGTTCTAGTTCAGTTCTAGTTCAGTTCTAGTTCAGTTCTAGTTCAGTTAGTTCTAGTTCAGTTCTAGTTCAGTTCTAGTTCAGTTCTAGTTCAGTTCTAGTTCAGTTCTAGTTCAGTTCTAGTTCAGTTCTAGTTCAGTTCTAGTTCAGTTCTAGTTCAGTTCTAGTTCAGTTCTAGTTCAGTTCTAGTTCAGTTCTAGTTCAGTTCTAGATCAGTTCTAGTTCAGTTCTAGTCCTAGTGTATGCGAAACTATACATGAACGAATAAAATTGATAATTACTTTTTCTTTCTTATATGATGCCATTCGATATTAATAAAAATTTAGTATTTAAGTATTTTAATATTATGTTATTCGACCACGAATGCTGGCCCTATCCAGCTCTGATTTAGTTCAAAATTAGTTCAGTTCTGGTTCAAAAAATCTCTTACACTTGTTGCTATGTAAGGAAAGAAATCACATTTTAATCTACTACTGGCAAGTTAAACACAAATAACAACATGTAGGTCAAGACAAATGTAAAAACAATTTGGAACATTTATTGAAATACAATTCAAGCGCCTACAATTTTAAATAAAAAAAAGAAAATAAACAAAATCGGTTGTACAATATTATTCTAATCAATTTGCTAGAGAGTAAATGTTTTTTATATTAAATGCAAAAACATAAATTATGTGTCGATTTATTATCTCACACTGCAGTTTAAAAACAAAAAATAAATAATTTAAATTTAGTGGGTAGAATTTCTAGTTAATAGAACTAAAACAGCAGATATTTTTTTGTTGTAACAAACTACTGAACTAGTAAATTTTGCTACTGCCAGATGCTTTTTTTCATTAAATCTATATTTTATTATTGGAAATAAAAACGTAATGACATGTAGGAGATGTGTTGGTTTTTAACCTGATAATATTTATTTATTAACAATATTTTCAGTGTTTTATTAAGTAAACAAAATACAATATACACATGGTTTCAAAACCAATTGCATTTATTAAACACACTTTTGAATTTAAATTGATTAAATGAAAAACAACAAGTACAATTAAGCATGAAATGTAAAAATTAATGAATTGGAGTAAAAAGTGACTTTGATAATTTTCAAAAATTTAAAAAAATAAGTGCAAATTGGGATTATTGACTTATTATTTCGAAAGGGAGAAAAAAGCAGGCATTTCATTTTATAAGACCATTTCATTTACATTCTTTATGAATCATAGAGAACCTTTTGTTGCTGTCAGAGACTGGACTTGAAATTTTCTATTAAGCCAAAAGCTTTATAAGCTATGGAACAAAAAAAAACTTTCACGATCAGTTTGCAGATGTTGTTTGTAAAAGCTTTTCACGTGATACTCAGTTCATAATGTCAACGATGTTGAATGGTTCTAGTTCTTTTTTTTTATTTTATAAAAATATTCCATTTCGATCAGATGAATTTTTTCTTATGACTAAAAGTATTTTTTTTTTAAACTATTAATGTGCCATTAATTTTATCAATTAAATCGGAAAATATTTTTATATTCATATAAAACAAACTAAACAATAGGGTGAGAAATACTCTTGAGGAATTAATAACGAAAAGCAGTTAATTCTTTAAAACTTTTCGAACTAATATTCTTAATAAATCGTGATTTTTATAAGATGACTTTAGCATTATAAAGTCTTAGATAATGTCTTAAAGACAGACATATACAATTTTACTAGGTTCTTCTTAATGTAAAATTTAAATTCTTTAATTAGTTGTACCACCCTAAATATTTCTATATATTAGAATATACTACGTATTCTTTGTTAATCCCCGGGTTGTACAGATTATTTTGATTATTTTTCTAATTATTCTCAATTGATAATTTTAACGATTAAAAATACAAAAAATACACCTAGAAAGCAGATTTCTTGAGAATTGAAAAACAATTGCTAATCTCTAACATTAAATTGTTATTTATTTGTTTTATAGGTGAGCGGCCATTTAAAAGGTTTATTGTTTCCTTCTGATATGAACTTATATAAAAACATATATTATGTACATATTTATATGTATTAACTCAAGTGAGGTGTTTAGCCTAAACGAGAGGACCCTTTTCCGAGTTCCCCAATTTTCTATACGTAACATACTTTATAACACATTTTATTTCATACGGTATAAATAAATACTTTTTGGGGTCTATGACTGACCGATATTTTAAATGTGTTGTAAACGAAATTGTGATGTGTATAAAAATACATATAATTTGTGTTAATTGAAGTTCAATGTTTTTTTAATTTTCTTTAAAAAATATATTTAATCTCTTCAACTGGGAAAATTTCGAATAGCAAAAAGATTTTATTAAGCGAAAGTGTTCAAGAGTTCTGATGCATTTAAGTAAACATTTTATAGTTCTAGTTCAGTTCTAGTACAGTTCTAGTTCAGTTCTAGTTCAGTTC